TACAAATGGCACATTCTTTTTGTAGTTTAAGTGGTTACTCCGGTTTCCATTATAGTACATGCCTTGGGATTCATTACTTTCTTTTTCAGGTTACTTTGCTTATTGACTTTGTTGCCTCTCATAGCTCCTGGGCTTGGGCGGTGAGGGTGAAGGAGTTTCCAAAGATCCTCTTTTCCCCAGTGTGCTGGGATCCGCAGGCTACCCATTTTATTAAAATCTGTGTGGCAGTGGTTTCAGATACAGGCCTAAAACTCCCAATGTGCTAAATTATAGATGGCCTATCTGTAGAAGGGCAATGTTAAAGCTTTTCTCAGGTTATGTCAAAGAGGTGTGTGAACACAAGGAAATCCTGCAGGTCAAGGGCAGAAGTCCTGTAAATGGAGACTTGGGGACTTCAGACATGGCGCATGCTCACGCAGCAGCGAAGGCTAGTTTTCAGAGGTTGGAATAGGGCCCTTAAATTATGCCATCGAGCCATCTTTTATGCCTTAAAGATGGGAACGAAGCGATGTTGGAAAAACACGGTGATCGCCTAGTCGGTGCATGCCTGGTAGGACCCCTTCTGGTCTCCAAGCCTCTTTCCCAATACAAAATGGAAGAAGCGACCGCTCAGACTTGCTTCTCTGAACGTCAAGTCCTTCAATTTCGTTGTAAAATCACACTTCCACGAACCAAAGGATCCACAAAACAAGGCAATAAGGTAAATGGGGGTTGAGGGTAGTTGGGGACAGAAAGGTGCGACATCGAGCCCCTAATACGGAGAGTTACATCACTTGTGATGTAAGTACAGTGATACCTCGGTTCTCGAACATAATTCGTTCCAGGAGGACGGTCGAGAACCGAATTGTTCGAGAACCGAAGCAATGAAACCAATAGGAAAGCGTGACTCCACAAAGCGTGACTCTCTCTCTGCACTCACACTGATGACGCAAGCAAGGCGCGCTGGGCCGAATGAACGCCATTCGGCTCATCTCGGCTCATCTCGGAAGTTCGAGTTCCAAATATTTGTTCGGACTCCGAGACAAAAGTTTCTCGAATCTCCTGGTCGAATACCGATTTGGTCGAAAACCGAGGCGTTCGAGAACCGAGGTATCACTGTACAATGTGCGCAATCCGAGCGGCCCGTGGTAGCAAGGACGCAGGCTCAGTTCTGGTGTGGGGTTTCTGGGGATTGTAGTTTTCTAATCTTTGCAATAGAGGAAGACATGTCACCGACATTGTTCACACACATGCTGACACGGCTGTGTGCACGGTCCCGTGGAGGGGGTCAGCGTATCAGCAGCACTGTTTTTAGAAGCTTACAGGGCTACTGGAACTTCAAGAAAGGCCAGCCTAGTAAAGGCCTGAGGAATTTGGGAACCCTTTACCAGAAAATGGCGTGGTGTACAGCTGGATGCATTAGGCATTTACCCGGGAGACAGTGGGTTGGCAGTGAGCGGGTGGGATCATTCCAGACAGAAGAACTTTCTCCTACAATTTGGAAGCATGACAGCTGAATAGGGTCTGATAAGCAATGGATGGGACCTGAGAACTTAGAAATGGAAAGAAATCAGATCATGAAGGATCTTGATGCCAAACCCAAGAATTTGGAACCCCCGCCCCCATATTGATTTTAGAGAAGAAGGGAGGGGGAGAGTGAGGTAGAAACATCATGAGAGAGAACATTCGATTAGCCACCTCCTGCATGCCCCCCCACTGGGGATTTGCCCTACAGCCTGGACACATGCCCTGACCGTGAATTGAACAGGCAACCTCTTGGTGTATGGGTCCACACTCAACCACTGAACAACACCAGTTGGGCAGAACTTTTCTTGATTACACTGACACCTCAAGCACAGACCAAGTGGTACCAACGACCTCCTCCTTGTGTTCTTGTTTGTTCATCTCCACTTCCATTTTTCCCTCTACCCTGGGGTTGAAATTGGGCAGCATAAAAGCCATTTCTAATGTGGGTTTTGTTTGGCCAGCACTTTCTAAAAAATTGGTTGTCCAAAATCTTAAACGTGAGGGTGAGGGGTTTCACATTTAAACAATGACAAAGCCTGGCTGGTGTGGCTCAGTGACTGAGCATTGACCCATGCACCAAGAGGTCACCAGTTCGATTCCTGGTCAGGCACATGCCCAGATTGTGGGTCTGATCCCCATTGAGGAGCATGCAGGAGGTGGCCAGTCAGTGTTCTCTCTCATCGATGTTTCTTTTTCTTTTTTTTCCTTTATTGATTTTAGAGAGGAAGGGAGAGAGAGAGAAACATTGAGGAGAGAGAACGTCAATTGGCCGCCTCCTGCGTGCTCCTCACTGGGGATCGGGCCCATAACCTGGGCATGTGTCCTAGCCGGGATTTGAACCGGCAATCTCTTGGTACATGGGTCGATGCTCAACCACTGTGCCACACCAGCTGACTCTCATCGATGTTTCTATCGCTCTCTCCCTCTCTCTTCCTGTCTATCTAAAAATCAAGAAAGAAAAGAAAATTAAACAATAACAAACGTTTTCTGGCTTCTCCTGAAAAATATGAAGATTTGACAGCTTGGGGCCCTGATTCAACTGAGTAGCTGCTGCTGCCATTAGACAGGACAGACATATGTTCTCATTTGTCATATTCCCCACCACTCCTTCCCATCATTCAAATTGAGACCAAGTACCAGTTGCCATTTATCATGGTGGTTTTGTTTTCATTTCCTTTTAGTGAGCTCTGTTTGGACTTGGAGGCATCTCTGTTGCCCATCTTTGTATTTATCTATCTTGGTTGGTATCTGAGGAGTGATACAATGAAATCAGTATTTTAGGAAGATTAGTCAGTGAAAAAGAGATTGATGTGAGGAGCTGGGAGGCAGAAAGGAAAAAATAAATTGGAAACCCGTGGAAGAATATTTGAGAGAACTTGGGAAGTAATTAAATATTGGATGAAAGATGAGGAAAAGACAAAATACAATTTCAGTTTCCTGCCTGAATGACTGGGAAGGTGACATCTCCAACATAAACGAGAAAGTGGGGGAAATGCAAAGGGTGTTGGTGATCAATAACCTTGCTACCACTAGTATCTTGTGGGCAAGCGCCTCAAGTTAACAATTCCTAAGCCCAAAGTCTGCTGGACCTGTATTAGGTATTCAGGAAATTCTTGTTGAATTGAAACTCTTACTGACGGGGGCAAGGAAGGGAGAATCAAAACCAGTAAATTGTGGGACCTTAGGAATTATCACCTGAGTGGGTGATTCTAGGGCTTAGCGGGTATTTAACTCCTTTGGGGGAAAGTCCTGAAGTAGATTAGGAATTTGATATGAAAAATGGAGATGGGGTGGAAATGGTATCATTCCTGGGAAAAGGATTTCAAAAAATCAAATTGGATGGCAGGACTTTTCCTGGAATACACTGAAGCAAGCTCTTGGCTGGATCATTAGGCAGGGGGTTTTGGACAGTGAGGCTGGGAAGGATGGAAGGCTAGACTTGTCTAAACATTTTTGAGAGCACATCACTTCAAAGGAAAAATGTTCAGCCCAGACCCCAGATAAATATTTATTTACAAGTTATTTATATGTAGCACTGCAGCGATACTATGTGCTTTATAAACATTTACACACACACACACACAAAAAAAAAAACCCCAAAAAATTTAAAAAATTAGATAAACAGAAATATTCTCTCATTTTCTTCCCACTCCCTCAGTGTATCATATCACACACACCCTATGGGACCCACACGGACACAGCACTTTGGAGGCCTGCTGTAGTCAAAGGGAGCCACTGGAGATTCTGAAACAGAGCAAGGCATGGTCTTTGTCAACTTTCCCAAATCTGCAAACTTTGGAAGCAGAGACACAAAATAACTGGATTACCTTAGAATGCCTTTTTTTTTTTTTATCCTCACCTGAGGACATTTTTCCATTCTTTGTTCAGACAAAGTGGGAGAGAGAGAGAGGAAGAGAGAGAGAGGGAGAAACATCGATGTGAAAGGGACACATCGAGTGGCCGCCACCCGCACAGCCAACCAGGGCCGGGGACAAACTGCAACCGAGGCTCGTTGGGAACCGAACCCGGGTCTCTCCGGACCGCAGGTCGATGCTCTAACCGCTGAGTCAAACCGGCCAGGGCTAGAATTCTTTCCACCATCCAGGAACAGCCTCAGTGCTTTCAACATAATTTATTTAATCCCCAAAGCAACCCTATACTGTAGGTGCCATTATGGTGCTATTATTTTCTTTTATTTTTTTAATCATTAAAAAAAAAAATCCTCACCTGAGTATATTTTTCCATTTATCTTCAGCTAGAGTGGGAGGGAGGGGAAGAGAGGAAGAGAGACACATGGACTGGTTGCCTCCGGCGTGACCCCACGAGAAGGGGGGGGACCGCAGCTGAGGTACCGGTTCTTAACCTGAATCCATGGGCCGACGCTCTAACCACTGAACCAAGCCGGCCAGGGTGTATTATTTTCTCTTAAAATAATTTTTATTGCTCTTAGAGAGGAAAGGGGGGCAAGGATCACTTTGTTGTTCCACTCATTTAAGCAGTGGTTGACTCCTGTATGTGCCCTTACTCGGGTATCAAACCCTCAACCATGGCGTATCAGGAGGATGCTCTAACCAACTGAGCTACTCGGCCAGGGCAATATTTTAATCTCAATTTGAGGGAACTGAGGTAAGCAAGGTTACCTCATACAGAAGTGGCGGAGCCAGAATTTGAACCCACCTAACGGGGGTCCACAGTCCATGAACGTAACCAGTACTGGAGTGGCGGAGGGGACACTCGTGTTTCTCTCCTGTGGCCTTGGTCAAGTACCTCACGAATCAAAGCTGTCCTGAGAGTGACTGACACAGTGCCGTTGGGCAGCAGGGACTCGAACCGCCCCGCCGTCTCGAACACGGCTCTCCAGGGAAGGTCGGTTTATCCATCGTGAATGTCTCCAGAAGGCAACGCACACAGCTGCGCAGGCGCACATCGTTAGGCTTGGTTCCTATGGTTTCCGGGGCGCGACGAGGAAGGAAGGTCTGCTCCTGGCGTCGCGCTGCAAGCGTCGCGCTGCGGACGTCCTTTGCGTCAGGTCTTCGCGTCGCCTGCAGAGCCTCCAGTACCCGCGGCAAGCGAACGGACAAGGGCACCGCGGCAGGACGGTAGGGCCTGCGTATGTCCGCGGGGCAAGTTAGCTGAAGGAACTTCCTTCCGAGATTTCTTTAACACATTTCCTCTTGGCTTGCTGGGTGTCCGTTCTGACTCGAACTCGGGGCGTGCTTTCCGCTTTCCCAGGCCCCTTCACCCACACAGCCAATGTCACCGAAGCCTGTAGACCGCACCGCTCGCGTTCTCCTACAGGCTGAGACTTCAGCCAGACGAATGCTTTGGCCTGCTAGCTCTTAACCTGAAGCCCACGCTCCTTTCCTCGGCTTTCAAGTGCCTGCGTGATCGCGGCCCTGGCCACCGCTTCAGCTCGTTTCGTTCTTCCCGACGTGCACTCTGCGCTCCAGCCACGTCTGGGTCTTCACTCACCCCCAAACACACCCAGCGCCTCCGGCTGTAACTCTGCCCTGATGGAATACTCTGCCCTCTGACCTTTACTTGACAAACTCAGCCCATCCTAAAAGGCATTTTCAAATCTCCAGGGCAGAATCGGTGCTTCCTCCTTCGAGCTCTTAACCCCCGTTGTCTGTCTTCCTTTGGGTTCCCAGTTCGCTGTGTATCTGTATTGTGGTACTTCATGTTGCAGCTGCTTCTTTCTCCCATTCCAGTGCCTGGAACGTTATTTAAAAGACTGGGTAGGAAATATAAAAATTAAATTCACCTATAGATCTGTCATTCCTACATAGCTGGATTGCCTTTTTGTGTGTGTGCGTTCTTTTGGTCTTCTTTTGCAGACAGTTTTTCTTTGGCATTATTGTCGTACTTTTCTTTATTTGACATTAAAATTTATGTCCCAGGTGTATTATCTTTTTATCCAAATATCTCATACTCTACTAAATAGGTACTGGATTTAATTATCCGTTTTAAGTTTTTTTACATAAATACCCCCCCCCCCTTTTTTTTAACAAACTATTACTGAATCCCTTCCTGGTCCCTGCCTTCACCTCATTCATTGTTCAGTAGGGAAGACATTCAAGTAAATAGTCAGTTATAGTGGTGTGCAATGTTCTCCTATGGGAAGTTGGGAATGATGTGTAAAGGAGGGACACCGGTCTCAGGATAGCTTCTCAGGGAAGGTGTCATCTAAATTGATATGGATAGACATATGTAAATAAATGTTTCTTGTTCTTTTCAGTTATTTCTTCAGATCTAACTCAAAGAATTGTGATTAAGTCAAAACATAAACACTCTTTTTGACTTTTGATAAAAATGACTTTATCAATATAGAGAGGATTTAAAAAAAAATTTTTAGCCTCACCTGAGGACATTTTTTGATATTTTGTTCAGATAGAGTGGGAGGGAGAGAGAGAGAGAGAGAAACATCAACGTGAAAGGGACACCTCGAGTGGTTGCCACCTACACGACCCAACCAGGGCCGGGGATAAACTGCAACCGCTAAGGGTATGTGCCCTTAGGGGGAACCGAACCTGGGTCTCTCCAGACCACAGGCCAATGCTCTAACTGCTGAGCCAAACTGGCCAGGGCAGTATAGAGAGGATTTTTATAGATTGTTTTTTAGTTCTAGTCCTCTTGTCTTCGGGTTTTGTGAAAGCACAGAAATTGTTTATCTGCCATAAACTGGGAGAATCTAATGAAAAAGTTTGGTGAGAAGAAATTGGGAGAATAGTGTAAAATATCTTTCTAGAGGGCTATTTATCGTAATAATCTCATATTTCTTAGAAATGTCTTATTTGATTGTACTTTTATGATATTTTATCTTTTTTTAATTTTCCATTTCAGCCATGCCTTTCTTTGATATACAGAAAAGGCTGGGCATTGACCTAGACCGCTGGATGACAATTCAAAGTGCTGACCAGCCTCACAAGATTCCTTCTCGGTGCCACGCTTTTGAAAAAGAATGGATAGAATGTTCACATGGAATTGGTGCTATTCGCGCAGAGAAAGAGTGCAAGATAGAATATGATGATTTTGTAGAGTGCCTTCGTCGGCAGAAAACGGTGAGGAAGTGATGGAGATGGGAGCTGAGTTACTTCCTTATGTCTTTGGGGCTACTTTTCAGTGTTTTTAATTGGTCATTGAGCAGTGACTTGCCCAATATGAGTTGGCAAGACTTTTGTGGTGAAACACCTCTACTTAGGTACCATGTCAAGGAAGTTAAATGCCTTCAGATCTGAGGAGGACCTGTTGTTCCTCATGTTCTTCATCTTCTCACAGATATTCTTTAGTATCATACCTTGCTGTAGCCATCAGGTTAGAAATTATATGTCTGTGTCTGTTTCTACTTTTGTAGTAAGCCATAAAGCAAAAAATATCAACCCCTCTTGGATGTTTGTGAAAATCTTTGGGTAAAAATATTTCAGATTCATTGATCCCCCTCATTGGGGAAGAGATTAAAACCCTGAAGGTCTGTTACACTGAACTTGATATAACAGTCTCTGAAATATTTATACTCCAGGGAAGTTGGAGGTATTAATGAGATTGCTTTAGGTGAGTCTAACCAAAAGTGCAGAAAGAAAAAGAAATGTTAACATATGGTGTCTTGGTCCTGAAGAGTTGTGAGTTGCCGAACTTTCAGGGCCCTATTCTCCCTTAGAGAATAAATCTTTAGGTGTGGGCTGTTGTTTTGCTTATTTCTGTGCTCCAGATATAACAAATAGAAATGTCATTAATTTTAGTTTTTTGGGGTTCGTGAAGACAGTCTAGATTTTCGGTTAAATTTATCACAAAGTTACCTGTCAGAATTTAAAATTTATCTTAACAGCTGCTGTTAGCATTTTCTTAAAGTGAAGCCAAACTTGAAAGGAATGCGAGGGTGTCAGGTCATAATTTTATATTGATCTCTGCAGGAATATTGATCAAGTGAGTAATATTATAATGTATTCTATATTATGGGACAATGAGTGGGTCATGTTTGGCCACCTACCACCTAATTAGTTCACAACATGATTGTTATTGTTAATCCTTACCCGATGATATTTTTTCATTGATTTTTTTAGATAGAGTGGAAGGAAGGGAGGGACAGAGAGAGAGAAAAGAAACATCGATATGAGAGAGACACATCAATTGGTTGCCTCCCGCACCTGCAATCCAGGTATGTGCCCTTGACTGGGAATCAAACCCACAACCTTTGGTCTTCAGGCCAGTGCTCTTAACTGTTGAGCCAAACCAACCAGGGCAGAAGAACTGGGTTTTGATGTGGTTCTGCCACCACTAGTTTTGTGACTTCAGGCAATTCACTTCTTTGTCTTGGTTTTCTTATCGAGAAATATTAAAGAGTTGCCCAAGGTCACTTCCTCATCTTGTGAATTTATTAATAGATGTGTTACTGTTTTAGAGGTCATCCTAAATTACTAGATCCTTCCCCCTAGGCGAAGAAGCTAGTGATTCAGGGAATTAGAATCAAGCACTGTTCTAAGTGCCTAGCCTGTAATAATGCATTTATTTCTTACAACAATCTTGTGATATGCTTTACTATTATTTTCCCACTTTGCAGTGAAACACTTGAGGCAAGGAAAAATTAAGGCCATTGCCTAAAGTCATAGTACATGGTGTAACTGGGATTTGAACTTGGCAGTGCTGGCTCCTGAGCCTGTGCTTATTATATCCACAATACTAAGTGATGATTGGCTCTAGTTCAGAGAAAGATTTAATTTATGGTGTTCTGATAGCTCAACCACGACTAGTCCTCTGTTGGGAAACTCTTTCATAGAGAAATGTTAAGAAGGCAGTCTTTTAAAAATGGTTAATGTTTATGTCAGTATTTAGGATACTAGAGTTTTTCTGCTGAAGTTATATTCTGGCTAATTCTTTAAAGTTAATGGGATACTTAACTGAATATACTAACTCTTCATGCTTTTGTGAAAACTTAGTCATTCACTAAAAAAATATGTATTGGATCACCCATTTTATCAAGAACTATTCTAGGAACTAGGAATATAGCAGTTAGCAAAGCAGCAAAAAGTCCCTGTCCTAATGGAGCTTATATGGTGGGGACGGGAGCAGAAAATTAACAAACAAGTTGAAAAACAGCGTGTCAGGTGTTGATAAGTGCAGTGGGGAAAATAAACAGGAAAAGGATAGAAAGCACTGGGCATGGGAGCTAAGTGGATGTTTTTAAAAATAGGTGGTCAGAGAAGATTTCTACAACAGAAGACATTTGAGCAGAGACTTAGAGAAAGTGAGCCAAGTGGATACGAGGGGACAATGTGCTGGGCAGAAGAAATAGCAAGTGCAAAGGTCCCTGAGCTGGACCAGAGAGAGCTAGGGGAAGGATCAGAAAGAGTTACGGGAAGGGTATTAAGACATAAAGTAAGAGAGGTAGACTTCATAAGTCTTTATAAGGAAGGATTTAGTTTTCACTCTCAGTGAGATGGGAAGCCATTGAGTTTTGAGGAGACAAATAAAGCAATCATGATTAGTTACTGTATTTTCTATGCCAAAGAATCCATATGAATTATGGCTCACACACCGTCTTACATAGCATGATTTGCTAGGAATGGCCTCTTTGAGAAGAAGCAGAAATCAGGGCTCAACAGTGACTGGTAGCTGAGTATATATCAGATCTTCATTTCAGTGTGGTAATAAGAGACCTATTGGCTATTTCTGTTTCATTCATACCCAGTGAATGGTCACCAGCAGCAGTGTCAGCTTCACATAGAGAGGTCAGGAATACATAAGCTATGAGATGATTTCAAGTTTTAATATTTTAAAAGATTTTAGTATGCACAAATATGCCCCTTAAAAATTTTTGACATATATAATAGGAACATTTTAATTATTAGATTTCAAGGAGATACTATTATATATACCAGAAGTTTATTTGTTAAAAGTGTTATATATAATTTCAGGTTCGTTTTTTAAAGACAGGTTTCATCTCAGAGGCCCTCTAGAATGAGAGAGAGAGAGAGAGAGAGAGAGAGAGAGAGAGAGAGAGAGAGAGAGAGGAAGGGAGGGAGAAAAACATCAATTTTGTTATTCCACTTAATTATGCATTCTTTGGTTGATACTTGTTTTTGCCCTGACCAGGGACCGAATTCACAACCTTGGCATATTGGGATGATGCTCTAATCAACTGACCTACCCAGCCAGGGCCTCCCCCGGTTTTAAATACTTTTTTCCTTTGACAGATGAAACGTCTGAGTGCCATCTTGAGACAGCGGAATAAGCTAATCAAGGAGGGGAAGTACACACCTCCACTCTACCACACGGGCAAGGAGGATCCTAGGCCCTGAGCAGAGCAGCTGCCGATGGCTGGGGGCTGATTTTCGTGTTCCTTCTTCTCTACTGGAAAGTTTATGTACTAGCAAACCTCTTTGTGAAGGAGTCTAAAAATAAAGGATTGCTCCATCTTACTTGTTCTATATTCTTTGGATCATACTTTTCTATGAGATTGCAACCTATTTTTTTTTAAGTTTGGATAAATGCCTCTATCTATGTCTTAAAAATTAGCATCTAGGTAATAATAAGCAGCATTTAATGAATTCTTTATGTGTATGAAGTACTTCAAATACGGTAACTCATTTAAGAAGTTGTTGCAGTGTCCTTTGTGCTTTCTGTTTGTGTGTGTGTGTGTGTGTGTGTGTGTGTGTGTGTGTGTGTGTTTAGATTTTCTCTTGATTTTTAGAGAGGAAGGGAGGGAGGGAGGGAGAGAGAAACATCATTTAGCCACTTCTCATGCATGCCCTGACTGGGGATTGAACCCGAAATCCAGGTATGTGCCCTGACTGGGAATCAAACACACAACCTTTTGGTGTATGGGATGACCTTTCAGTTAGCTGAACTACCCAGCCAGGGCCAGTATTTCTCTTTTTTGTGACAGGCTTATTTCACTTAGCATAATATCCTCAAGGTTCTGTAACATGTCAGAATTTCTTTCCTTTTCAAGGGTAAATAATACTTTGTACATATACACTACATTTTGCTTATCCATTCATCTGTTGACAGACACTTGGGTTGCTTCCATGTTTTAGCTATTGTGAATGAAACTGCTATGATTATGGGTGTACAATTATCTCCTTGAGACCCTGCTTTTAATTCTTTTGAGTATATATAGAAAAAGTGGAATTGTTCAATAAGGAAATTCTGTTTCTTCTTATTTTTTTAATCCTCACCCGAGGATATTTCTCCATTTTTTGTACAGATAGAGTGGGAGGGAGAGAGAGGAAGGGAGAGAGAGAGAGAAACATTGACGTGAAGGGACACATCGAGTGGCTGCCACCCGCACGACCAACCAGGGCCGGGGACAAACTGCAACTGAAGTACGTGCCCTTAGCGGGAACCAAACCCGGGTCTCTCCGGACCGCAGGCCGATGCTCTAACCGCTGAGCCATACTGGCCAGGGCTGTTTCTTATTTTTTGAGGAACTGCTGTACTGTTTTCCACAGTGGTTACACCATTTACATTCCCACCAATAGGTCCACACTTGTTATTTCATGGTTTGTTTTTTGTTTGTTTGTTTGTTTTAAAAAATTTTTATAGTAGCCATCTAATGAAAGTGAGATGGTATCTCATTATAGTTTTGATTTGCATTTCCCTGATAATTAGTCATGTTGCATCTTTTCATCTGCTTATTGGCCTTTTGCATAGTTTGTTGTATAAATGTCTACTCAAGTCTTTTGCCCATTTTTGAATCAAGTTTAGTTGATGAATTTAAAGAGTTCTCTGCATTTTTGGGATACTAATTCCTGATCAGGTAGAGTCATGTGCCACATAATGATGTTTTGGTCAACAGTGGATGACATTTAGGACAGTGGTCCCATAAGATTATAATGGAGCTGAAAATTACTATTGCCCAGTGTCGTTGTAGCCATTATAACTCACGTGTTACTCACGTGTTTGTGGTGATGCTGGTGTAAACAAATTGCTGCCAGTCATGTAAAAGTATAGCGCATATAATTATGTATATTACATAATACTTGATAATAAATGACTTTTGTATGTATTTACTATACTGTACTTTTTATCATTTTAGAGTGTACTCTTTCTAATTCTAAAAATAGTTTGCTGTAAAATAGTGTGCCACATTATGCTGGCAGCACCCTCATACATCTTGTGTTTACCATGTCTCTGGTTTGCATCATTTCCTCTTATGTGTGATTTAATCTCGTGATGTTTTATGGATTTAGTGTAGCCTAAGTGTACAGTATTTGTAAAGTCTACAGTAGTGTACAGTAATGTGCATGTGAAATTCATTCACCACTCACTGACTAGAGCAACTTCCAGCCCTGCAAGCTCCATTCATGGTAAGTACCCTGTATGGGTTTATCATTATTTATCCTTTATATCATATATATATATTTTTTTAGTGGGAGGAAGAGAGAGAAACATCGATGCAAGAGACGCATTGACTGGTTGCCACCCACACGACCCCAACCAGGGCCGGGGACAAACTGCAACCAAGGTATGTGCCCTTAGTGGGAACTGAACCCAGGACTCTCCAGTCTGCGGGCTGAAGCTCTAACTGCTGAGCCAAACTGGCCTGGGCCTTTATACCATAATTTTACACTTCCTTTTCTATGTTTAAAAACACCAACACCATTGTGTTACAATTGCCTACACCTAATGACCCATATCTCAGAATGTATCCCTGTTGTTTTTTTTCATCCTCACCATTTATACCATAATTTTTTTGTTGTTGTTGTTAATCCTCACTCGACATTTTTTCCATTTTTAGTTCAGATAGAGTGGGAGGGGGAGAGAGAGAAACATCGACATGAAAGGGACACATCGAGTGGTTGCCACCCGCATGACCCAACCAGGGCCGGGGACAGACTGCAACCGAGGTATGTGCCCCCAGTGGGAACCGAACCCGGGTCTCTCTGGACTGCAGGTCAACACTCTAACCATTGAACAAACTGGCCAGGGCTATACCATAATTTTACACTTCCTTTTCTTTGTTTAAATACACAAACACCATTGTATTACAATTGCCTATACCTAGTGACCCCATTTCTCAGAATGTATCCCTGTTGTGTTTTTTTTTATCCTCACCTGAGGACTTTGCATTTATCTTCAGATAGAGCAGGAGGAAGAGAGAGAAACATGGGTGTAAGAGAGACACATCGAGTGGCTGCCACCCACATGACCCCAACCGGGCTGGGGACAAACTGCAACCGAGGTACATGCCCTTAGTGGGAACTGAACCCGGGACTCTCCGGTCCGCAGGCTGATGCTCTAACTGTTGAGCCAAACCGGCCAGGGCATGTATCCCTGTTAAGTGGTGCGTGATGTATATGATTTACAAGTATTTTCTCCCATTCTGTGGGTTGCCTTTTCACTCTGCTGATAGTGTCTTTTGATGCAGAAAATTTTAAAATTTTTATTAAGTCCAATTTCTCTTTTTTATTGTGGTTGCTTTTGATGTCATATTCAAGAAATTGCCAAACCCAGTGGTGTGAAGTTTTTGTCCTGTTTTATAAGTTTTAGGTCATAGATCTATTTTGAGTTTTGTTAATTCTCACCTGAGGATATTTTTCTATTTATCTTCAGATAGAGTGGGAGGGAAGGGGGGAGAGAGAAACATCAACTGGTCACCTCCTGCATGACCCTGACAAGGGCCAGGGACAAACTGCAACTGGGGTATGTGCCCTTGACTGGAGTCAAACCCGGGACTCATTGCTCCGCGGGCCGTCGCTCTAACCACTGAGCCAAACCGGCCAGGGCTGTTTTGAATTCTTTTAAATATAGTTATTAGATGAGGATCCAACTTTATTCTTCTGCATGTGGATATCCAGATTTTGCAGCACCATCTGTTGAAAGAGTTTTCCTCATTCAGTAGTCTTAGCACCTTTGTCAAAAATCATTTGGCCAGCCCTGGCCAGTTTGGCTCAGCGGTTAGAGCGTCGGCCTGTGGTCCAGAGAGACCCGGGTTCGGTTCCCGCTAAGGGCACGTACCTCGGTTGCAGTTTGTCCCTGGCCCTGGTCGGTCGTGCGGGTGGCAGCCACTCGATGTGTTCCTTTCACGTCGATGTTTCTCTCTCTCTGTTCCTCTCTCTCCCTCCCACTCTACCTGAACAAAAAATGAAAAAAAAAAAAATCATTTGGCCATATGTATGAAAGTATTTCTGTACTCTGTTCTATTCTGTTGGCCCATACGTCTGTCTTTATGCCAGTTTCACACAGTTTTGATTACTGTAGCTTTGTAGTAAGTTTTTTATTTTTTAAATATTTTTTCTTTATTGATTTGAGAGAGAGAGGAGGGGAGAGATAGAAACATTGATGAGAGAGAACATCAAATGACCGCCTCCTGCATGCCTTCCACTGGGGTTGGGCCCACAACCTGGGCATGTTCCCTGACCGGGAATTGAACCAGCAACCTCTTGGTGCATGGGTCAGTGCCCAACCATTGAGCCACACTGGCCGGGCTTTATAATAAGTCTGTTATATAGATTTATGAACATGGAATATCTTTCATTTATGTTTTTAATTTCAGCAGTGTTTTATAGTTTTTATGGTGTAAGTCTTTCACCTACTTGGTTAGGTTAATTCCTAAGTTTTTTGGGGGTGGGTGCGTAGGAAGAAAGCTGTTTTAAATGGAATTGATTTTGTAATTTCTTTTTCAGATTTTATTAGTCTTGCAGCATTTAAAAAAATTTTATGTATTGATTTTATAACGAGAGAGAAAGGGAGGGAAAATGACATTGTCTTGTTGTTCCACTTATTTATATACTCATTGGTTGATTCTTGTATGTGCCATGATTGGGGATCAAACCTCGACCTTGGCGTATTGGGATGACACTCTAACCAACTAATCTACCCAACCAGGGCAGTCTTGCAGCATTTTGAGTCATAAATGTCAACAGTGGGGCTTGAATATAAGGTTCTCCTCAAAAGGAAAAGTACATAATTGGAAATACAGGATTTGGCATTTGAGTAGGGTCCTGCTTATTCTTTTTTTATAGAGCAAATCTTTAGCCAAGTGGCATTTTCTTAAGTGAATCGCTAATCAGTCATAATGGAGAAGCCAGCTGGAGTCTTTCCAGCAAGATCTGGTGCTATGGATCTGTGTTAGGTTATTTTTATTATGTTTTGTCTACATAAACTTTTCTGAATTTTTTAGTCACAATGGCTTTAAGTGTGTGTATTTGTTGTGTGTATATATTTTTAACCCTCACCTGAGGATATTTTTCCATTGATTTTTCAGATAGAGTGGGAAGAAGGGGGAGAGAGAAACACCGATGAGAGAGACACATTGATTGGTTGCTTCCCGCACAACCCTGACCAGGGCCAGGGTTGAACTGCAATTAAGTTATGTGTCCTTGACTGGAATCAAACCCACAACTCTTTGCTCCTCGGGCTGATGCTCTAACCACTGAGCAAAACCAGCCAGGGTAAGTGTATACATATTTATGGGAAAGGGCAGAG